AACTCCCTGTTCCTTGCAGGACTACCTAAAACTAAACCATATGACTAAAAGAATCGTCCAGACGCTCCTTGACATAGATCTACACTGAGCAATGCTCAGCGTATTAAAGGAACATTCTTTAGTTGGCACTGCCCTTAGTTCCAGGCATTGCTCCTTTGTGCAAGCTTCAAAATACCAAGAGCATTTCTCTGAGAGTATGGCAAACTTGGAGGTCATGGACAGAGAAGGGATATCTCATATAGATGGACATCAAGCTCTTACTGGTGTTAAAGATCAGAGCCTGCGTTTAGCACTAGAAGATGGGAGTAGTCTAGCTATGACGAAAGACTGCTGATGCAGTTTGCCACTGAATGCTTCCCCTTGCCAAATATTTCCTTAAGTTGCACTTGATGTCACATTTGCCATCTATTGTTTGCATGGCATGCAAATACACCTATACCTCAACAACCCACATGCCTTCTTACCAAGAGGTCTCTCATCTTGCTTTCAAGTGCAAGAAAGGGAACAGACTCATCATCTTTCCCAACACAAATGGAAAGAAAATAAATCACTGTAAAATTAAATCTCCAAGAGATTCCAGTGTAAACAATGCCTACAGAAATTCAGAGAAAGGTTTGGGTTTTTTTTGTGGAAGCAAGCACAAAAAGATTCCTCTTAATGGCGACTTAAATTTCATTGGAGGGGAATTTAGACATAACAAATGTGTCTAACACTCAGGAATGTTTGATTTATTAGAAGTACATCTGCCACAGGTTGCACAGGAAACAGAGAAATCACCCAGCACAGAATGAGCAGATAAAATATCGTCAGGGAACTTCCCTCATACTAGAGAGTAAAATACATCATGCAGAATTAAAAGGAAGACTTTACAGAAATGAATAGCTTCCCCTCCAAATTCCAGAGAAGATAAAGAAAACAGAGCTACTGTTTGCACAATTGTTGTGGGTTAACCCCGGTGGGCAGCGCAGCCCCACGCAGCCACCTGCTCACTCCCTGCAGTGGGATGGGGGAGAGAATGGGAAGGGCAAAAGTGAGAAAACTCATAGGTTGAGATGAAGACAGTTTAATAGGGAAAGCAAAAGCTGTATGCGCAAGCAAAGCAACATAGGAACTCATTCATTACTTCCCATCGGCAGGCAGGTGTTCAGCTGATTCCAGGAAAGCAGGGTTCCATCATGTGTCATGGTGACTTGGGAAGTCAAATGACATTACTCCAAATGTCCCCCCTTCCTCCTTCTTTACTCTAGCTTTTATTGCTCAGCATGACGTCACATGGTATGGGACATCCCTTTGGTCAGTGGGGTCAGCTGTCCCAGTTCTGTCCCCTCCTGACTTCTTGTGCACCCCCAGCCTGCTCGCTGGCAGGGCAGGGTGAGACACAGAGAAGTCTTGACGCTGTGCAAGCACTGTTCAGCACTAGCTAAAAAACCCCTGTGTTATCAACATTGTTTTGGTCACAAATCCAAAACATAGCACTATATGAGCTGCTATGAAGAAAATTAACTCCATCCCAGCCAAAACCAGTACAGCAATTTTAGTAAAATGGATCAAAACCTAATGATGCCCAGGCCAAGTGAAATTGCTGCAATGAAGTTGCATAACGAGTAGAGTAAAATTCTGTAGCTTTTACTGAAATATTTTATCCACATACTGCAGCAAAGCATTACACATTTAATGAGAAACAAAAATAAAACTGGAAAATAGTTTTTTAAACCTTGGGGTATGCAGCTTCCAGAAGGTGCATGGATCTGGACTAATTCTGACATTGTGTAGCTCTAAGTGTCCGTGCTGAAGTTAAAAAATACACAATAAAAAAGAACATTAGCTGAAGTCCTAGTTTATCCTACTTATTACAGCTCCATAGCCATAGAGCCAAGCTAGTAAAAACTTGGGAGGGTGAGGTGGGGAGTAGTTGAGCTTTCACTCAAAATGTTTTGTGGTACCAGCCATGGACGATAGGTTTTAAAATTCTGTCAAATTAATTCTAGTTCATACACAATTGACTTACTTGGTACCATGATATCAGAAAATGATGTGCAATGAGAGTAAGATCCTTTGGGAATGCAACACTAACAGGCAGAGGGAATTCAGGAAGTCAAGTGACCACTTACAGGGAAATACATCCACTTGTAAGAAAAAAGATGAGGCTTTTGACATTCTTTTAGAAGGCCTGCAGCAATAGCTGTATGCCAGCAACACTGAATACAGCAGAAAGAAATTATATATTTTCCAGAAACATCAGAGAAACAGGGTGCTGAACGCTGTTTACAGAAACCAGCTCAGTCTTGGAAGGATGCAGATAGCTGTTATACGAGAGACTGGGATCGGGGTTTAATCACAAGTAGCTGACAAGATATACAACAAACCTCTAGACTTGCTTGAATGTGTCTAAACTGAACCACATGGTCAAGTCAAAGAGGGAAGGAAAAAGCAGGGGGAGTCATCCAACATTTTGAGACTGCACCTCCACCTAGCAGAGTAAAGCAAACTTGCTCCATGAAAGCAGAACAGGAATGGAAAGACCCTGGCTCCATTTTGCCTGGCTTAAGTGGTGCAAATTACACCAAAGGTGCACCAGAGCTGTAGTCAGAAAAAGATGAATTCATGTCATTCACTGTGCACCAAGGAAAGCAAGAATGAGCAGCAGGAGGAAGGTGAAGCTGCTCAAAGGAGAGGACATGCAGCTATCACCCGAAGACTGTGGCCCTGCAAGGTAAGAAAGGTTCAAATGGTTTCCTGTTGGAAACATGACACTAGCTCTATTAATACATTTGTCTTTCTCACAACGCTTCAAACTACTGCTAGCCCAACAATGGAACTCACTCAATCCTAGGAAGAGAACCTCAGGACAGAAGGAGAAGGAACAGCTTCCTGAAAGGAGCCCTCACAGACAAACAAAAGACTCATGAATCGAAATAATTCTGTTCATAAAGATAAATGTGATCCTTAAACAAAGAAAGAAAGGAAAACCTCAGGATAGCCCTAAGTCAGCAAAATGACTGAAAGAAGGTCCCCAAGCTTTTAAGATTTCCACACTTCTGCTCTGCTTTCTACACTGGCCTATTTGCTTGTCCATTGCTGATCAAAACAAACTTCGCTTCCCTGAAAATATGCATAGAACACACATAATTTTTACTTTGGTCTTAACACTTTGATTATTTGCATCAGAAAGCATCTAAAGCAAGAAACTGAAGATTAACTAAAGCAGGCTTACAATTTTATGACTGCACGAATAAAGAGCTAATTAGGTAGAATTACACATCCCTTTTAAATGACTGCAACCAAACCTTTGTTCCTTTCTCAAACATTCATGCCACTGCTCAAGCAGGCTTAGAGAAGACTTTCAAACAAAAAAAAAACAAATTAAAAAACCCCCCAAAAACCCCACAAATCAAGAAAGCCACCTGGTCTAAGAACTGAAGCTCCATTTTGAAACACAAACTTTCAGAGGTCAGTCATTCCTGGAAGGTACAAGGTACTAAGAGTTACTACTGACTAGGCCACCCTCCCCAGGCACTTCAGACTAGAGCCATCGGGCTCTGATGGGCATTACAAACTGTGACTTCATTATCTTCTACACAGGCAAGATTGGGTTCGGACACCTATCTAAAATCGTGTATTTGGACACATCCACCAAGACAGTAGTGGTCCAACACAACTTCTTAAGTAATTCCAAAGATCATAGCTCGAATGCTCACTTTGCTAAGAATACATGGTCAGGTGCAGCTGATTTACTTTCCACACTTACGACCCCTCTGCTTGTTGATATGGGAACTTCAAGCAAGTCCAGAGCATTTTCACAGCCAACAGAGGAAAACAGACTTAACATCACACGTCCGGAGGGAAGCAACACAAAACATCTACCTGCACAAAACAAGTACACATTCCCAGAGAGGAACTTATACTTGATGCCAGTTGCAATCTATCCATATATTTAATATCCGTTATTAGTGATGGATATCTACTGTAGAGCTAATTTTTTTTATTTATTCAGAGCAACTGTTTAGAACCAGAGAGAAAGCAAGAGTAAATCAACACCGAAAGCCAAACTACAGAATAATGAACTATTCTTTTAACACAGATGCGATACTTACGGCTTCAGTGTATCAATAGTTATATGTTTAGAAAAAGTGTAAAAACCCAGTGTTTCGGAGTTTCAATGCATACAGACACAACCGACAGCACAGCAAATAGTGGCACAGCCTGTTCTTGAATTCATGTTTTCTTAATTACCTAGACCCATTGCCATTCAACACTCTTTGTAAAGAGCTACAGAGCTCTCATACCTGAACATTACCAATACATATATATTCTCCAATATCCAAGAGAGCTGAAATTGCCTAAAAGCCTCAGGGCTCTTCTGCACAAGAATACTTTCTAACAGAGGTATACAGTAACATTATATAATTATATTTGCACCAGTAAACTTCCCATGCGGACACAGATTTTGAGAACAGAATGCTTTTTCCTCTTGCAGACAAATCCCCAGTAGTATTTGTGTAATTCACTTAAAAGCCTAACGTCAAAGAAGCTGATATGCCCAAGTGATTCTGTACTTTTGCACTTTTGCCCAAGCCAATAGGGAACAAAATGGAGAGGTGGTCAAACACTGTTACATCTGTAGTTCCTGACACAACTTTACTACAAAGGACTTGTGCGGAGAACAAAAAGTCAGTTCCTTGCAACCAAGGAGTTAATTAATAAGAGGGGAAAGAGAAGCACATGGATGTTGGCATAAGGCAGACAGGATAACAAAAGATGTGGAGCTTGGGAAAGAAATAATCCATAAAACTGAACCAAAAGGCCACATTCTTATGCAAAACCAGACTTCCTGTTCCCATCCCACTTTTTTGCCCTCCTTTGACAGAACACCCTTGACAGATTGTCTGGTCTGACAATGGAAAGGTGAAAGCACAGTATAAGCAGTCACTCCTGCTTGCGCTATCTGCCAAAACACCAAAAGCAGGCTGACCTTCATTCCCATTGCCAGAAACATGAGGTCAATATGAACGTCTAAAAAGGTTGTCCTGAGCATTCAGCAATGCTTTTTTAAAAGCTGTGAAAGGGGAACTTTCCAAAGCTGGAAGGAGGAAAGAGAAAGGTCTTTCAGCAGCTGCAAGAACTACCTTATAAGCCTTTCAATTGCAGCAGGATGAGCTAATAAAGCTGGCCCTTAAACCCTGAAGTTCAGCGTTCAAATTCTGCTTCAAGTTCACAAATGAAAGGAATCTATTATGCTTACTTTAGTACTCAGAGGAATCAAGCCACATCAGAAAATGACTGTACTCTTTGACTAGACTTGTTGAGAACGCATCGGAGATAGGCAGCAGAGTGTCTTTTACGCTGTTGGCAGAACATTCTCCAAAACCTTGCCTCCTAGCGTCCTACCGCCGTATCAGTGTTAATTGCCTGCTTTTGTAAGATGCATTTTAAAAAGAGGCTTCCTGATCAATGATAAAACCAAGCTTTCAAAGTATACCACTAGACTCAATCAGCTGATGGATACGAAATATGCATCTAGTTATACTTTCCAATTAAAGCATCTACTTTAGCTATTATTCTCTAAACAGCTTTCTACCGATAATACACAAGCCTCTCCTACTTCTCAGTGACATGGAACAGCCACCTAGAACCTTATTTTCTCTAGCTGAATTATCTCAAGAAGCAAACTTTATAAGCCTCCTCACACAAAGCCTTGCCTCGCTTTTTAAAATTAAATATAATGTCCAAAAAACACAAACTAGACCCAGGAAGAAAAAATTCCCAATGCAATTTTCTCATAAATCCTTCCCACAGAGCAGCCCAAAGGGAAACAGAGGGATGATTAATCTTCAGAACCAGAAAAACTGTATTTTTCGTTTAAATCTTAATTTTGAATTTTTCTGTACAGATTATTTCATGATAAAATTAATTGAAGCAGGGGCAACTCACTGGGTTATCTCTAAAATAGTATATGGGCACGTGGACGTGGCCTTGAACAAATTTTTGGCACATCTGTGTGCAGAACATGTCTCAAGCATATTGCTAACTTTGAGATGCAACTGGAAGGCAACAATTCAGCCACCACTACTACATCATTGACCACTACTAGACAATGAATGGGAGGGAGCAGAAGTCTGTCCATGGTCCATTGTCCAAATGGAAAGATGTCCTACAATAGCTTACTTCTAATAAAATTCTTCTGCAACGGGCTCCACATACTACTTCATTCCTACAGAGAACTGGCAACACAAAATACAGTCCAAAGACACAAAATACAGTCAAAATTCTCTGATTTCTAATGCAAGGCATTTCTTTAGTTCTTAAAAACCACCATCTTTGGTAGCTTGGCAGGAGATTTGGGTGCAAAATTTCTCCCATCTTCATCAAGACAAGAGTGACATTTCAGCGCGTCAGGCAGTTCCTCTCAACTCGCTTCTTCAAGGCTCAACTTTTAAGTGGCAAACCCAAAGCAAGTCAACACTGTCACTGTAGAAAAGCCAAGCTCCTACCTGATTTGCATGTCCTGCCATCGTCTTCTAGCTGCACACCAGTGGGACAGGCACAGCTGTAGAAGGGGTCTCTTGGAGACAGCAGGCACAGATGGGAGCAACCACCGTTGTTTTCTTCACATGGAGTGTGAACTTCAAGAAACCAAACAGATTTATTTTCATTTTTCTAGAACCCCTAAAGCCCTCTTTTCTCCATGAGGAAGAAATTATAGGTCCCAAATGACTGGCACAAGTTTTAGTGCTAAAAGACAGAGGAACCACAAAATAAAGTGTTTGATTCCGCCCTCCCCAGCATCTTACTTCTAGGGGCACCTAAATTGAGATGCACGCAAAAGCTGATTTTGAAAGAGCTGACAGCTCAGCACATTCTCACTATACAGTTCTTTCACTGTTTCTAAAGCTGAACACAGCTGAGAGCTTTGGACATGAGTTACTTTGTGGATGCTGGGTCAGCTAAGCATCATGAAAATGGAAAACAGGGCTTGGAGGGTGGTGACGGTGGGGGGGTGACCAGTTCTATGAAAGAAGGCAAAACACTGCTGTAATGTAGGAATTGTACAAATTGTTGTGTAAATATCTCTTCCTACTGCAAAGCTTTCACAGCAAGACATATCCCTGAATCACCAGGAAATCCAGAGGAGATACATGTAAAGTCAGCAATTTTGAAAATGTAAAAAAAAAAAGAACTGGGGGGGACAGGATGGGGATGGACACGACAACTGCGCGCACCTCATTTACATGGGAAAAAAAAATGGCAGCAAGAGATGAAACTGTAACCATAAATAATCATGGAGAATATTACCAGCTATTAAAAAACAAAAATTGCAAGTTGTGCAAGATCTCTCCAAAATCAATCATAGTTTGAATAAGCATCTGAAGTGCTTTACTATAAAACCCCAAAATTTCCAGCTAATTTGGCTTGTGTTACTTCCACTGACAGTCACAAAGAGGAAAAAAAGGGAGAGGAAGGAATCCAAGCCTGATCTTAATGAAGTCAATAGCATCTGAGCTATTTTCAGCATATGCTATTTCCCTATGTGCCATATTTTCTTTGTGACTGACCCAGAAATACTATGACCCAAGGCTGGGACATTCCCTGAGCTAAAAGCAATGGCAAGAATTCAGCACAGACAAACTCTTATCTGGAGCTCTGAGATAAACCAGGGTGCTGTGCATACCCGACAACTTCAATGAAAACTTGCACATGCTCCATCACCAAGATGATCTCCAAACTCCTTTTGCTTACTTTCAAGCCTGTTTACTGACATCCTATAAACTTTACTGGAATAACAAATATTATCTTTAGGGAAGCAGACTTTACAGTTGGCATAAATAAAGAAGCCAATCCAAATGGCAAGTGTATCTCCCCTCGGCAAGAGATAATTCTTCCCATAGCTACTCAACTGTATACATTTCCACCCATTGCTTTTAAGTCCCATTCTCTCAATCCTAAAAAAAACCTAGACCAACTGCCACATGGAATCACACGCATATACAAAACATATACAGCCTCATTCAATTCTCAGTTCTCTACACTTGCCTTCCTTTGAAGTAGCGTCATACATAAAGAAAAAAGAGGCACGTATATGTTTTATATAAAAGCTCAGAAGCAAATCCCTTCCATACCGAAGCATTCATTTGTTACGTATTGAAGATAAACATGATCAAGTCTGGACTGCAAAAACTGCACTTTTAAGTACAACATGAACATTACATATTTTGTGGTAATTCTACTTATTTGGGGAAAAAAAAGTAATTATAAGCATTTTTTTCAGTTGTCTTTAAAATAATGGTGTTAAAAAGATGCCAGGTGAGTCTTTATCATTCTCATTCCGATATTCCAAATCAAAAGATGTCACTGAAGTAGTGCACTGGATTTTGGATTTTGTTACCAACTGGATGATGAGTGAGCTCACACCAATCCAGGCTGGAATTTTCCAAGAAAGGTACAGGATTCGCATACTTATACCTTTAGCGACCAATCCCCCGACAAGTGTTCAAAACCTTACAACTTCACACTAACCATTTTTATGATTAAATGTTTTTCCTAATAGATAAGTAACAGTCACGCAAAAAGTTTCAGGGAAAGGTAAAACATACAGTATGGCTGCCGGTCTGGACTTAAGACCTGGATGTCCATCGGCGAATATAGGGCAGACAATATTTCTCTCCTTTTCTCTCCTGTCCTTTTGTTACAGGCATGAATGGAGCGTGTTTGCCAGTCCGTCCAATACAAAGTGTCCCCAGACAACGTCAGCGCAAAGGGATGAGTAAGACTACCTTCAACAACTTTTTGCCTAGATGAAAGAAAGAGCAAGGATTAAAAACGCATTGCTTCCACTTGTTACCACGCAGAAAAAAATCTGGCTTTGTAAAAACTCAGATAGGAATTGTCTTCTTTTAACAAATTCACTGGACCAAGAGATTCACCGGATGATAAAAGTGATAATCAGACTGAAAAATGTAAAACAAGACTTTGCCCCTTCATAGCAATAAGGACACAAATATACTGGGTTTGATAGTGACACAGTATCTGATTCCGCTCCACACTGACCTCTGAAAGGTCACACTGAAGTTCTTTAACAGGGCTGTGCAGATACCCAAACACAACTGCCTTTTGGAGGAAACACAGGTCTGAAGAGTGCTCCTCCAATTAAAGCATTACTTTTTTTGTCCCCCTGTGCAATACATGACATCTTTGCCCAGGATTTCAGTTGCACTCAGTCCTTTCTTGTAGCAGGAAAAGGAAGAAACAACCCAAGAGTCTCTTTAAATTACCCCTTTTAACTTGGTCAGCAGCAGAAACAAATTTTTTTGAAATTAGCTTTTTAAATGTAGAGCAAGGGTCACTTATATTTTTTCTAAGACTAAATATTTATTATCAATATAAATCAGAAACATTTCAGATGTTTTTTAATGACTTCATTCAGCCACACTTCTGTTCTGGGGATGCATTTATTTTCACATTGGTTATTAGCTGGACTGAAAGCCACAAAACACATGACATTTCTAACATATTTTCTAAACTCATAGGATCCCCAAATTTATACATATTGCAATAAATTTGTGTAATTTATATTCGGTAGTTTTGGAGATATTTTCTAAGTCAGTGAAAACATATTTGACAAGTCCTCAGTCAAACCAATATCAACTCAATCTTCACAAATTCATGCATTTTACATATGCACAGACACAAAGGCATACACACACCTTCCAAACCAGTGTTCTGACACAGCAAACCAGTATTCAAAATTTTTCATCATACAACTTTGAGAAAGCTGAAGTCTCAGCATCATCCTGAAGGAAAGCGAGAAACATATTTTTCTTATACCTATATTCAGATTTGCATTTAAATTGTTTCCATTGAAGAGATTAAAGAAAAAAACAAAAACACCTAACATTTGAGAAGGAAAGGATTCTGTTTCATTTTGAGCGACATAGGTACCATTTGCACTTCCCAGGGTGAGGGGGGAATATAAAAGACCCCCCAAAATTCTTCATATGTATTCAGACATGGACAAGTTTAGAACAGGCTGACACATGCAAACAGGTATTTGCATATACATGTACAAAGCAGGTAATGTGCAAAAAAGAAAACAATATAATTATTATTCATTCTGTTCTAGAGATAAAATTGAAACTGCTCTAAAATTTCTGTCCTTCAAATTATCACTACTTCTCTCACCATAAAACACGATAGAATAAATAGAAATCCTGATTTCACTTTCTCTTTCCACTCTAACTTTTGCTGTTGCTTCTTTACTAGTAACAGCAGTGGCTGTATTCTAGTATCGTAGCAGCTGTTTTCCACTATATATTGCCCTTATTTCCATCATTCTTAGATATCAAGTCTCTTCTTCTACTGTAATTACATCCCCTGAAACAGTTCCAGATGATGTGCTTGCAAACTGAAGCTTGCTAAGATGTAACAGCCAGATTGCTCCAGCAACGTTAATCCACCATGCAGAATGCATATTTCCTTTTTATTTGAATTCTGAAGTGATTCTTGGACAGGAGGGGTAGAAGCATTTGAAACACCATAAGATTTCTTTATCAACAAGTCTGGGTGAAATTTATATTCTCTATATTTAAGGAATAGATGCAACCTCCAAAGTCACCATCTAGTTTGAACCATTATTGAAGTTTAACTTGACACCAGAACCTAAGAGTCCCAACTTCACAGACTTCTGTTTCAACATTGATCAGTGGAAGGGAAAAAAGAATAAAAAATTAAGATCAATATTTGTGGCATTTTATTAATATGCATAACATTTTAAGAAGGAATTTTTATCATATGGTAACAATATAAAATATACATAGCTAGATGACATCAAGCTATTATATTGGACAACGCCTAAAAGTCCACATACAGTTAGACACAAGGAATTTCCACAATGCATCCTGCATAGGAATACCCTGACATCAAGTGTGCATTTGCACCCTCCAGCAGTTGAGTAAAATATGTGAGTAGTGTACACCAGTATGCCAATTTTTTTTTTTTTATGCAAAATACATTAATTTTTCCTAAAATACTGTTTCATTTATGGTTCAACAGAAAACTGCTTGGGTGGTGGTGGACATGCACTAACCTATCACAGAGTAATTTGGACAGATTGCTGGAATTAGTGTATTCAAAGGCTTGTTCCCTTTCAGGTGGCCTTCCTCTACCTTAAAATGAGCAAAATAAATTTTACTTACCAATTACAACTTTAAGTTTTTACACATACATGCAAGTAAAGTTTATACAATTTGTATGTGCGTGATAACTGCAGAATCAGGCTGGAAACCTTAACCTCTGCCACTTGCCCCCAAATTAGAGAAATATATTAATGTTATAGTGTATGAAAATCTCTCTTAGATTTTTAATTTTGAGAGAGCATTTTCCTTCTGTCTACGAACCTGCACCCAGCCTTCGAGCTACCACTCCCTTCCGTAAAGGCCTTTTCCCTTGCCTATACTTCTGATTGTCAGTCACTACTTGTTAGTTACTACAATGCCACCATTATCTAGCTCTTACATAGTGCTCTCAAAGGAACTTCAGAGCGTTTTATAAAGGATGTCAATATTGTTATTCCTCTTTTAGGAGTGTGAAAATCAGACACAGAATGCACCTTGGTAAAAAAATTGAAAAACACCATGGAAACCGCAGTGTTTTTTTGGGGGGAGGCATATTGTTCTATTACTCAGTTATGCCTAAAATAAAACTCCTCCAAGCAAAATGATTTCATAACACAGACATTTAAAATGTTATGAAATAATGAAAATGAAAATGTCATTTTAAACTATCTGAAGACCAAAGCCAGACCAGAATGCAGAGACTTGCCTCCTCAGCAGGATGTTTCACTGGCAGATGATACTCACCCTTCAGATGACACACAACCTGCCCATTGAACACTGCATAGAATTGAAGGTGCAATCTCAAACGTCTAGGTCTGCCCTGTCTGAAGCGTCAGCTCTCTTTGTCTACAAAAGCCAAAACTCAACAGCACACTTGGACAGGAGCCACCAACCAAAACTTCCATACTGTGCTTTCTATCAAGCTTTAGGAAAATCTGGTTCCTGCTCGCTCGCAGTCTGAAGTAAGCTGAATTTGGTTAATTTATAGGCTTGCCACAAACGACATCTTTGGATGCGACAAGTGTGTCTCAATGTATATTTCCTGCCAAAAAAAAATACAGTAATAATACTGTAAAATCCCAGTCACTAGTTAAATGTTAGGTTGCCTAGGGCCAAGGATAAGCATCTCCAACTATCTTCAAGACAAATATGAGCCTAAAACTGAAAAATCCTGCTGTACAAGAAGGCTATATCAACAGCCCATAGTGAAATACTGATACATACAGTCTTACTTTTAAAACCAGTTTTATAGGATGTGAGGCTATTTTACTTTTTGCAAGGCTATTAACAATTGCATTTAAAAAGAACAATAAGGTATTGGCATTATTCTAGATTACTGAAAAAAAAAACCCTCAGTATAAAACAAATGCAGGAGGTGAGAAATAACTTATTATATTATATTATAACCATAACTTATTATATTGTTATATTATATTATAACGATATTATTGACTAAAGGAAACTTACCTAAAGGAACCATCCAGATTTGCCCTATGAATGAAACTCAGTTTTGCATCAGCCCAGTACAGTTTCTGCTCATCAAGATCTATCGTGAGTCCATTTGGCCAATAAATATCTGAATCGACAATTATTTTTCGCGTGCTGCTGTCCATTCCTGCCCGTTCTATTCTGGGTGTTTCACCCCAGTCAGTCCAATACATGTATCTGAAAAAGAAAGTAGAGATGCTCACAAATTAAATCACAATACACACTGGTTAGCTTCAGGAACAGAAGGGATAGCAACTCTTTGCAAAGCCCCTAGGTGTATATACATAGAGTGGTGTATATACACAAATGTATATTGCCAAAACTTTAACATACTTGCTAACTTATTAACAGTTCCAGAGGGTGCAAAAAAAGTCCTTCATGAGAGCATCTCTCACTAGCATTGCCTCTGCATAATGTATTACCTTTCTCTGTCAATGTTGGGCAGCATCTGATTATCATAAGCATTTACAACTGAGTATCATCCTTGTGTGGCCAGTTATTACAAGTTAATATCCTAAATCATATTCTGAAGCAACTAATTACTTATCCAAGCAGGCAATAACCGTAGCTGAACTTCCTTTTGCAAGTCTGTACACAGAAAAGAACAAAATCAAGTGCCCTGAAATTCGTATCTGTCAATAAATAAATCATGAATCCGTGCAGATTTAGAATGACATTAGATTAAATTTTGGGATGCTTTTTTTTCCCTCCCATCCATGTCCCAGTTTCCCTGTCACTCCACCTATGGGCAACTTAAGTTGCCTGAACTGAGACATTAACAACACTTACGAATTGGAAAGGACCAGATCAAAATGTGGCAAATCACACATCTGCATGAAAAGTTGAGACTGTACAGTTAGGAGAGAAACTGTCTGATCAGAAGAGGACAGGCAGTTCCCAGCTGGCAAACATTACCCAGCGTAATATATCCAGGTTGCAAATTCGGCATGCCAGGGGTGCAAACACAACACAGCCAACCCCTTGCACAGCTACCTCAGGCCAGTCAGGGAAAGAATATTGCTTTCCCAATGCCAACACAGCCATTTCTGGCATGGTCGGCTTCAGGAAGCCTTTGACCTGAGCGAGCCCTCAGACAAAACTAAGCGTCTGTGCACTGGACTCTCCAGCACTCCGGGTTCATCGCGCTATATTAGATCGCCGGATGGGCACCAGCTGGGTAGGTGCACTGAGCTACACCTAAGCTAAGTCCTGCTACCACTGGAGCTGCAGAAAAGCATGGTAAAGAGGCATCTATTCCATCTTGCAGAGCGCATGCTTAGCCAGACTTTTCACAAGCCGGATTATCCCAGACCCTCAGATCCCCTGAAGAAGACAGCACTGGCTAGGCACCACAGAGGAAGTAAACAAACGTGCATTGTGAAGACACTCGGAGGAAAAAAGCTTCATGGTTGCTTTTATGAAAGAGAATGCCGTCCACTTTGGGAATGAAGGAGGGACTACATTTGTAATTGCTGTCATGTTCCTCAGCGGGATTTCTCCCCTTTGCAACAAAAGATGCTCCTGTAAACCGCAGTAGCTCTGTAGCTGCTTCATGTGCAGCTGGGGCCATCATTTCAGCCAAGCAGGACAGGCAGCTGTACAGTTATTCCCAGCATGTCCCTCACAACTCAGTTAGGCTTAAAATGCTCTGATCTCCACGTACATACTGCACCCCGTTTCAGCTGTACCTCCAGTTCCAGCGCAGTCACAGCACCTAGTTAGTCCATTCTGATCATAGCAGCATATATCATCATTAGCATGTTTATCCCACTGAAGAGGGGAATATAGATAAAAATACAGATAGATAGACAGAGAGACAGACAGAAATGACTCACTTGTATCACAGTACACATACTGTGGGAGGGTAAAACAAGGAGTTTTCTAATTGAAATGCTAAAGCTTCCATGCAGATGAGTCCTCAGGCTTCTGAGACAGCTCACCTCAGCGTGGCTGCAGCGGACTCGTGTCCCCAGGTGCCTTCCCCAAAACACCTCAGGCCCAGCAGCCAGGATAGACTGACTGCTCCTGAAGAAGTGACAACAGTAGCTGAGCTGCCCCAGTTCACAGGACAAGCTACGAATGTAAATTGCCACTCATTTTGGTTTTCCTTAACAAGTCAGGCTGTAATTTGTGGCAGCTCAAACTGTGTGGGGAAGCAGCTATTGACAAACAATGGAAGCCAGAGAAAAGCAGACATAAAAGAAACTGTCTGTGCAACCAGCTGGTGAATCAGACCGTGAAACTGATCCGGCCAAATACTCATTTTTGGTCAGGTTAAATCAGTTCTCTGATCGGGCTTACCTGCACTAGCTTGAAGTATTCAAAGGACACCTTGAGCCACCTCTACAGGAATGAAGATGGACAAAAGATGGACTGTTGAATTAAGAAAAACCTGGCTATTAAAGGTGACTTTGGGCTATATCGTATGGCTATGACCGTCCCACACTTATTCATATATAGAAATGTATAAATGAAGACTAAAAAGGAGCTTAGACCAAAATCAGAAATCCCATGACAGTTATTTAAAAGGAAAAACAAAGGAGACAAAACCAGCTAAGTCCAATTAAACCTTAAAAGCAGGTTAACATAAAAAGGATAAAAAACATCCCCCAAACTACCCTTGAGCAAAATTCCTCTCCTCAAGACTCCCATTGAAACTGCAGCCTGCCCTGAAGCTCAATCCATTCAGATGAAGAAAAGGAAAAAAAAAAGTCTGTAAGCCAAAGGGCCCTCATGGCTTTTCTATATTAAAGGAGCTCCAGCTCAAGAGCCTCTCCCCCCAAAAAACCCTGTTGCCTAATTTCATAGGTGATGTGTGTTTATCCTTGGCCACACAGAGACTGCCTGACAAACACAGTACTTTCAACTTCACACATTAATTTGCCACAGGAAAATTACATCCCTACATTTTAGCTTGTTAACAGGTATCAAACTCAATCTGCATCAATGCCCGTGCCATTCAAAGGTCTATTAGCAGTATTAGCAAAGCAACTGTACTGCAAAGGAAGGCTAGCAGGATGAAGATGCATTTAGACAACATGTAGAACAATCTGAATGCAGGCAGCGTTCTTTCAAAGCACTTCTCTCCCAGTTGGACTTTTTTAACGCAACATATAAAAGATTATTATTACCCTGTCACCACCTCGTCCTGATTGTAGGCTGTCTCTGCAATCCCGTAAGTATCATAAAGCTGACCTTCGTGGTGAACTTTTCAGAATATATTGAGTCTCTGCAGTAATCAAGCACCTACTGAAGTAATGGTTTTCTTCCCCCCACGTGCTACAAAGCACCCCCATGGTCCATCACAGGAAAGCATGCCAAGCAATCGAATGGCAAAAGCAATTCTTGTCTCCATTTAACCTCCTCCCCTTTTCCAACAGGTTTCCACCATTTCGGCAGGCAGCAGGTGCTCAACTGCGATGAATTACAGGAAATCAGCTCTGGTTTAGGGATCTCTTAACACATCAAGACCCTGAACCTGGAGTTTGGATATCACTGTAAGAAGAGATCAGCTCTTCCTGCAGCAGGAGTGAGAGTCTCTGGTCTACGTAAGCCTATTTAAAACCATGCCGCTGCCAAATGGAGCGGTCTCTTCCCTGGTTCCTACCCCTGGTGCCGACATTAGCAAGAAAAAAACCCAAAAACTTTCAGTTACCTTACAAATGATCAGTCTGACCAATGGTCCCACAGCAGTGGTGCTTAAACAGAAGGAACAAATAAAGGCAGTGGCCACACAGCTGAAGCCACCTATGAAACTTCCCCAGAGAAAGAGGCATCACCCTCCAACTCCCTCTAGATAAGTCAGTCACAAATTAGGGCCTTGGACTCTACAACTAGCTAGGGCAGTCCTCTTCATTCCTCTTCTCCCACTGTAACATCTAGGCTGTTTTGACATTTTTTGGTCAACACAAGGCACAACACAGCATTGGACATCAGACTCTAATAGACCATAAAATGTCATGTTTTAAATGCATGCCTGTGTGAGATTTTCAAGAATGCATGAAGCATCAACCTTTTTTTACCGTCCTCCATTTTGAGTGACAAAGCTAGTTCAAACCAAATTAAGTACAAAAAGTGTCCTGGCTGATACACCTTACACTGAGATTCAGCTGAAGACAGAATTTTTTTGGGTAAGTTATAAATCCGAGAGAAAAAAATAATCCATGGTTATTATGGAAAGAATGACACAAGCTTAGCTAAAGCAGCACTGCAAACTTAACTGGAACAGTAACACCACAAGATAAAATTTCTGGGGAGGGGGGAAAAAGGCTTCCTTGATGTGAACAGTTATCAAGAGAAAGACAAAGGCTTTACACCTACCCTTGAAATAACCCATGGATCTGTTTAAGAAAATGAGCCTTCTGTCAAAACTACTGAAATCTGCTTGCATTAGTTGGGTTCGTCAGAGAAAAAGCCATACTGGAAAAACAGTGGAGAAATTAAGTATTTTAGTAATGTCCAGTAGTAGTCCAATTTCGTCTTACACTTTGCATCTTCCAAATGCCCCTGGATCAATTCTTACACAGGTATTTTTGGTGGAGGCTTTATGGGTGGGGTGAGAACGGGGCAAAAAGCTTGAAGTAGCTTCTCAGAGAAAAAAAATCAGTCTGTGCACAGTAACAGCTGGGTAAAAAACCGGCTGGATGGCCGA